CCTCGGCCTCCCAGAGTGCTAGGATTACAGGCTCACACAGGATTTTAATCTCTTGGGAAGGGCCAGTGGCCACTCACTCCATTCCAGCAACTTCCATCCATAGTCTTCTCCTAGCTGCCTTCCACTACTAGAGAGGTGGTCCACCAGACCCACAGACATTTCTTTCTGTTCTCCATTTAATACATTCAGCACACTGTTGGTGTTGCTTACTCTGGGCCAGGCACTGGGAACATGGATGGATGAAAGAAGGTTCCTGCTGTCAGGGAAACCTGATTTTAGTTATGGGCACCAGGAAAACTAGAGTTTGTGCCATGGGAAAGTTCCAGCATGCCATGGGAGTGTAGATGATGATGTAATTTATTATGCCTTGTGGGATCTGGAGAGGCTTCCTAGGGGGGTAGTCTAGCTGGGCCATGAAAGAAAAGTAGAATATTTAGCAGGCAGAGATGAAACAAAGAGGCTTTGAGGTGGGAATCTAGTGGTCTGAGTGAAGGATCAAAATTGTCTAGGGTGTGTGAAGTGAAAGAGGTGGGGTGGGGGAAAGAGAAGAAGCTACAAATGTGAACCATGCAGGGCTTTGGATGCCTAGCTGAGAACTTTGGGTTCTACCCCATTGGTGACAAAAAGCTTACACACTTCTCCAACCGTCCCCCATCCTAGGCCCCTCAGAAAAGACCTTCACATATCTTGGGCATCCTCACTGTGAACACACGTCCTCCATTCTGACTCTTTACTCTTCCTTTCCACATGTCAGACCCTGTTTCTAGAACCCCATTTAGGGGAGAAGGGTCTGGGGCTTCCCTCTGTGGCAACTTGGGTCAGCAGCTCTTGTTTCTGCCCACAGGGAGTCTGGTGGATTTTCTCAAGACCCCACCAGGCATCAAGTTGACCATCAACAAACTCCTGGACATGGCAGCCCAAGTAAGGAGACTGGGAGGGGCTGGTCATAGGTATAGGCCAGTGGGAGCCAGTGGGGTGAGGATGTCTGGCTCAGGACTGCTGACCTGTGTCTGGCCTGCAGATCGCAGAGGGCATGGCATTCATTGAAGAGCGGAATTATATCCACCGTGACCTGCGGGCTGCCAACATCCTGGTGTCTGACACCCTGAGCTGCAAGATTGCAGACTTTGGCCTAGCACGCCTCATTGAGGACAATGAATACACAGCCAGGGAGGGTAGGTGTGGGATATGAGGGAGGTCTGAGGCCTGCAGGGCCTGGCCAAGCAGACCCATGTGACCTCATCTGCCTGCCTCTAGGAGCCAAGTTTCCCATTAAGTGGACAGCACCAGAAGCCATTAACTACGGGACATTCACTATCAAGTCGGATGTGTGGTCTTTCGGGATTCTGCTGACGGAGATTGTCACTCATGGCCGCATCCCTTACCCAGGTCAGGGCCAAGGGCAGGAACTAAAAAGGTGATGGGAAGGGCACCAAGTCCATGTCTTCCCACTCACTTTTTTCTAGGTTCAGAATCTGAAACTTTCTAGCTGTATCTTCTCTATCCTCTCAGGGGTGTGACTCTAACAACCCCAAGCAGATGCCACATCTCCTGGGGCTGACTTCCATCTCCTTTTTTTTGTTTTTTAAATTTTAT